AAAACTAGGTGTGAGAGGGTAAGATCTACTAGTTTTAAAATCTTGAAGGTCAGGGTGACCAGAAACTATCAGTTCAATTCATTGACTATTCATACTTTCTTCATTTAATAAATCAGTTTTCTTACCAACACATGTTTTGGTAAGAAAAGAGTTAATGTATCAGGCACTTTTAAAGTAGTTTTAATTTAAAAAAATTAATTGTATATTTTGAATTGAATTTCCATCCAAATAGAGCTTGACACAAATCACATTTCTTATTTGCGAAATTTTTTCTTGCATCTTTAAGCATTTTCTAATATAGTAAATGTAAAAAGTAAGAATCTGAATAAAGATCAAGTTGAGCTATATAATTTAACTGTGTATAGATATAGTGTAGTCTCCTGGTTAGCAAAGAGAAGCATCAAAGTTAGTGTAAAAGCTATATTTATTTGTAAATAACATGTTAAAAAGAATCCACCTACTTCAGGAAAATTAAAGTACAGTGCAAAATGCAATTTAAAAATCAATAATTTAAATCAGGGTTTCCTGCTTGCTGATTTAAATTAATCTACCCTGCCCAAGAGACAGACCCCTTGCCCATAGCCACAGGTTTTTATATGAAGATGTGTGCTTCCCAAAAATATATGAATTCAGCAGCAAAAAAACTACATTAATGCAGAGTTAAGGTTGCTTGGTGGTAGGTGAGCCCCTTGCAGAACACTGAGCTGAGCAAAACTTAACTTCTCAAAACCAGGAAATGCTCACTTAAGGTTGTCCATACAATCTTAACTCTGCCCTCATTTCAGCAATGCCTCAATATGCCCCATTAACACACTGTTGCAACAATGTCCAAGCTCTTAGCATAGCCTGGTCACACTCACTCGCAGGATTCTATCTAACACTGTTAAAAGACAAAAAGGGCAGGGAGTGGTGGGGAGAGAAGTTGCCCAGGCTACTTCCCCTCTTTGTGCATAGAGGGACAAAGGTTCAGACTCGAAACATCATCAGTGGCAAGGTGTTCACTGGGGCAATGGTGTCAGCACATTCCCTTGAACTACTCAGGCAAGCACAAAGGCTGCCTAGAAATCGTTTTTTCTTTATTGGCACATGCACACTTCAGTCCTTCCAGACTGCACATCTGTGCAAGGGAAATGAACGTGTTCTTAAATACCATTCACAATTTGGGTCCTCCAAAGACTTAGTGGGTGCCATGCACTACCTCGGGTGAAAATTGACCGATTGGAGACCATTCTTGACACACATCACAGCAATACAGTAGTTTGATCTTCAGCTCTGTACAAAAAAAACCCCAAGACAAACCCTAGAAACTCTTTCAAAAATTTTTTTCTCCGTTATTGTATCTCTGGAACCCCGGGCTCAAACGACTCCAAATGTGGGTCACTAACCCTACTGTGCATTCCCACAAAGCATAGTAAATTTCAAGAAAATCCATGGAAGCATTTATACCCCTGAGCATAAGCGCTGACTCCGTGGGTGCTCCAGGGCGGGAGCACCCACAAGGAAAAAAAAGGTGGGTGCAGAGCACCCACTGGCAGCCCCCCATCAGCTCCTGCCCACTCCATGGCTCCTCCCACCCATGGATCAGCACCTCTCCGTGAACAGCTGTTTCGGGGAGCCTGGGAGGGAGCAGGGAGGAGCAGGGATGCAGCCTGCTCGGGGGAGGGGGCGGAACTAGGCGGGGAGAGATGGGGCAGAAGTGGGGCCTTGGACAGAGCCAGGGGTTGTGCATCCCCCAGCAGGTTGAAAAGTTGGCGCCTGTGCCCCTGAGCAATGCAGTTACCTCGATCTAACTCCCAGGGTAGACAGCACTATGTCAATGGGAGGGCTTCTCCCCTTGACACAGCTACTGCCTCTCGGGCAGGTGGAGTACCGACACGGAGTGGGAGAAGCCCTCCTTTTGGCATAGGTATCATTTTCACGGATTATCGTCCTTTAAACAGGAGGGCTTGAGGGACGATGGAGGGGAAAGGCTCCTCTGCTTGGCCATCTGTAGCATTGGAAGCTCTGAAAGGTCCGAAGTGGCCCATTCCTCACGCTGTGGTGATCTGAGCTGAATGCGAACACCCCATGGAGCTGAACACCACTTGAAACAGCAGTGAGATGTGTGAACTGCTCCATCCCTCTCGTGTGTGCTTTAGAGCCTATGAAATAGATGATGTTTACCTGTTCTCTGCACCCCACTCAAAGGGGCAGATCCTGGCTCATGTGGGGAGGGGACCTCTGACTCTTCCAAAAGGACAGGCTCCCCCCAGAACCAGCTCACATGGCGGGGGAGTAAGGAGGGGGTCCAACCCCTGTAGATGGGCATGGTCCCTCCAGATTCTGGAGTGCACAAGGGCAGCAACAAGAGGGGCTCAGACACCCCCAGAGGGGCAAAGCTCCCCATATCTGAGCTATAATAAAACCATGCAACACCCTATAGTTTCTCCCTTTTTTATAGAGCGCAGAACTGAGACCCGGCAAGTTTGTGTGTTGCTTGAGTTAATATGGTAAGTCACTGTAAATAGAGATTAGAATTTAAGACTTGCTGATTCCTGGTCCCTGGCTCTAAGTTTATGACTATTATGATGTACCTAGTTTCAGGCCGTACTTTATTTGTTTTCTCCCACAGTCTCTGAAGAAGCAGCACAAACTTGGAGTATTAAAACCTTTTTGTAAAATGTCAGCTTGTAAAGGAAGGATGGCAAATTGTAATCCAGGTCTGACCTGGGCTATTTCCTCTTCCTCCGTTTTTCACATAGCCTATGGGATGAAGGAGCACAGCTGAGTGTGCTTGCTGTGCAGTTGCCACTTGCTCGCTGCAAACACCCCAGTTGCACAAGTGGCTCAAACTTTGATCTTTTTGTTGTGGAAATGAAATCTGAGACCAGGAAACCTGCCCTTAGTCACAAACAATGCGGTGGACATTACCCAAACCCAGCTGGAAATGCAAGTGCAGCCAAATCTGAGCAAAACAGACACTTTTCCGCCCAGCCTTTGCCCTCTGGTGTATATGACCTGCTCTTACCAGTGGCTTCCACTCCAACTTGCCCAGCTCTGTTTGTGAATGCAGGCCCTAGTCCCACACCTGAAAACACAAATCCAAATACTCCCAAGTGCTGTTGGGGATAATGTTTAAACCACGGGTGCAATTAAGCTTTTAAGCAGTGAGCCTATTTGGTGAGGGACACACCTATTGCCCAGGACAAGCAATGAGAAATTATCAGTCTTTCAAGCTGACAGACTGTTCCCCAAATACTGCTGGGAGGGCTAGAAGATGCCACAAGACTCATAACTTCTGGTATTTATTGTAATAACTCTGAACAGGCTCTGTGTGGATGGTCGATGCTGCCCCAGCAAGGTGGAGCTCTCTGTATTTGAATAATACATTGGGTAATGGATTGTGAAAACGGTGTTGCTGGGATCCAGGGCATCATCTTTACTGTCCCTTAAAAACTTGCTGTAAGCACCTTGGTCATCACTGGAGGAAGAAAGGGGGCAAGTCCAGTTCCCTTCTCTTACGAATTCAGTGATTCCTTCTGGCCTTGGAATCTATGTGGTCATCTAGACTGATCCCCCTGTGTACCAGGTCATAGAACTTCTCCAAAATAATTCCTAGAGCATATCCCTTAGAAAAACATCCAATCTTGATTTAAAAATTGTCAGTGATGGAGAATCCACCATGACCTTGGGTAAGTTAACCGCTGGAACAATTACTCCTTATTTCCAGTCTGAATTTGTCTAGCTTCCTCTTCCAGCCATTGGATCGTGTTAGACCTTTGCTACATGGAAGAGCCCATTATTAAATATTTGTTCCCCATGTAAGTACTATGGCTATCCACCCCTGAGTGACGTAGTTCTATTGACCTAATCACCAATGTAAACAGCACCATGTCCCCAGGAGAGCTTCTCCTACTGACATAGGTACCATCTCTATGGCGATGAGAGAAGCTGTCCCATCAACATAGTGCAGTGGTCCCCAACCCAGTGCGGCGCCTGTTGGGGCATTTATGTGTGCCCGCCTAGTGCCCAGCAGGGGAAAGAAGCCGCGGCCCTGCGCCTGCTGGGGACAGAGAACTCCGGGGCTGCAGGCGCCGGTGTTCTCTGTCCTCACGGCTTCTCTCTGGATTCATATATTATGTAATATTAAATATGATTTTTTGATATTATTTAATGTACAAATTCAAAATAAGCCTTGAAAAATTGTTGGCGCCCGCCACACTCTTCTGAAAACATGAATGTGCTACTGGCCACAAAAAGGTTGGGGACCACTGACCTAGTGGCATCTTCACTAAAGCACTACGTCAGCATAGCTGCAGCGTTTTACGTGTAGACAAGCCCTTAGACTTGTAACCCAGTCACTGCTTAACCTTCTCTTCGTTAAGCTAAATAGTTTTGAGCTCCTTGAGTCTATTGCTATAAGTTAGGTTTTTCTAATCCTTTAATAATTCTCGTGGCTCTTCTCTGAATCCTCTCCAGTTTATCAACCTCTTTCTTGAATTGTCAGCACCAGAACTGGTCACAGTATTTCAGCAGTGGTTGCACCAGTGCCAAATACAGAGGTAAAATAACTTCTCTACTCCTATGTGAGATTCTTGCATCCCAGGGTTGCATTAGCTAGTTTGGCTACAGCATCACATTGGGACTTCATGTTCAGCTGCTTATCCAAAATCTCTTTGAGTCACTGCTTCCCGGATAGAATCCCCCATCCCATAAGTATTCACCACACTCCCACAAAATAAAACTTCAGAGTTCAGTTTTAGAGTTTCCTTGCTCTCCTGCTATACACTCTGGAGCCATAAAGACCAAGAAGACCAGGCCCCAAATAATGCTTCCCCAGCTCTAGAGAACAAAGAGACCATAGGCAAGAAGTGTAGCCCACTTTTTGAAGTAGGGGTGAGGGTTTTGGTCTCTGTGGCATTGGATAAGTCACTTTTAGGTGCCTAATATTAGACAAAATTTCCAGGCTTCAATACTTAAGTAAAAGTAGACTTTTCTCCCCCGCCCCCCTTTTCTTCCAGAAATGACGAGCACCCACAACTCACATTGAAGTCAACATCTTTGGGTCAAGTATGCCCTCAATCACAGCCTTGCAATCTCGGTGACTTCAGAGGGACTGTTTACCCATCTGTCAAACGGGTATAATATTTATAGCTGCGCTCAAGGTAGGTGAGTCATTGATTGTAGAGCAATTTGAAATCCTCTGATTTGGAAAGTTCGAGGGGAGTGCAAACTAGTAGTTGAATCCCTTTTTCCACTGGGTAATGGGGCTTTGGATGGAGCATCAGAGAGAATACTAGCCATGTGGTAGTATCTAACTACAAAATTATACTAGAAATTGGAAATTAACTCTTCCACATGCAACCTTCAGTCTGAGAAGTACAACTTATTCTTGTCTATTGAATATAAAATACACCAGAACATAGATGCAAGGTGCTCTCTATTGCTTGTCATCCCAGTGATCTCACACCACATTATAGCTTTGCTCTTAGTCCCTGTGATGTCATCAGAAACAGGATCTGTATAGACTTGAATGCTTGGACTAGGATTTAGAAATGTGATGTTAGCTAAAGTGTACTGACCAGCTTAGTCTGCACAGGGTCTTAGAAGCTGCATGGTTTGGTTGCTAATCAGCACCGAAGGGGGAAATTATGCTGCCCTTCAGGATCTGTGCTGTTTCTGTGCCTTTTGTCATCTTCCCATCTTCCTTTCCCTTTTCTCTGTCTTCCCTGTCTGTGCCGCCTCTGTTCTTCCCTACAGTAACTCCCATTCCATCTGCTCAAATGTAAGCCGTGATCAGCAATTAAATAGTTAATGAAGTGTTGTCGTTGGGCTTCAGGATTAATATCCTAATGAGATTAATGAGGGGTGGGCAGTCCACATCTTTCCGGCTGCTTGCAGACCTGGAAAGATGCTGCTGCAGGGCTTCACACACTTATTTGGATTTCTACCTTCGTAACCATGAAGGCTAGAAATGCTTTTTCAAAACAAAAGCTTCAGATTTTACAGTATCTGAATGTCAATGGCCAGACAAGTCCATCAGCTGAGCTTGATCTGGCCTGCAGATCCCATTGTTTGACGTCTCTGGTCTAGAGGAGGTGGGCTCAGAATTGGAGAAGTCTGGGCTCTATGTCCAATTTCCCTCTTTATTGCTTTGCGACCTTGGGCAAGTCATCTAACCTTGCATCTGTAAAGTGGCGAATAGCACTGCCAAGCGCTATGAGATTCTTGAATGAAGTGAACTATTTAAATACAAAGGACTAGTCGTGTTCTCTAGAGTCACAAATACCTTTTTCTAATGATTTTTCGGAATTGTATGCTGTGCTGAGGAGGGGAGCTAAGCAGGAGGGGGAAAAAAGGCACTTCTCTGGATAGTGAAAAATGCCCAGTCTTTTAGCTTTGTGCTTCAGCAGAAGCATGTGGGGCTTTGCTCTATCAACACCATGCGGGGTGCTGTTTGTTGATTGGGTGTCCCCTGATATCCGATGTTCTAAGCATCCCTGCATTGGCTGTATTTTGACTTCCATTTACATCTAGAATACCTGCTTACTTCAGCCAGCTGTAGCATAATACACCTAAAAATTGGGGGGCCAGGGAGAGATGGTTTTGGAATGCCTTGAGAGTTGACCAGCAAACAGGTGTGGGTGGCTAGAATTGCACTTGGAACCTTGTCTGGTCTTTGATAGGAAAAAGAACAGCCTGAAAGATTCTGAGGACTTGAGAATGAATTAAATGGTGACATTGCAAGAGTCAAGACTGTGATAGTTGGAACAATTAAGTGGGAAAAGGGATTTTTAGTCCGACTCAAGCTCTTTTCATTAATACATATTTAACTTTGGGGAGAGAAAGTTTTTGTTAAAGACTCGATACACTTGCACCTTCAATTAAGGAGTCCGCACTCTCAAAATACATCCTCAGAGACCCCCCTAATGACTAGTATCCCATTGCTGAGATTTCCAAGGAGGGAGGGGGACGAGGAAGACAACAAGCAGAGAAAAAACACAACTATACCTTCATTAGCCATCACAAAGAAGGAAAAAAGCACGCATATCTAATTTTTAGACGTTTTCTTTCAGCTGCTAAAGGCCATTAGCCCCTCTGATAAGGGGAGCTTAAGCTTCTGAAACAAAGCAAACTGGTTTGAGATCCTACACATTTAAAAAAAAAATGCAGCTGCCTTCCTAAAGTGCTGGGCAGGATTCTGATTTCAGTTTTTCTACTGTAAAATCTGGAGTAATTTAACTGATGGGATGTAAGTGCAACCACAATCTGGTCCACTAATTTTGCTGCTTAATAGTCTGTTGGTGACCCATATATTCTCATTCTCTCTCTCTCTCACACTCACACCTTTTTTTAGACTGAATTTTTTGGCCTATTTAGTGTTGTTCAAGGGCCACTTAAAATTATACCCCATCTATCATCCAGCCGTGGTTTAGAGATGGCAGCGACTATAAAATGAGATTTCCATGTGTAAGTTTCAGATATTGTCACCAAAAAATGCAGTGGATTTCCCTCCCTCCATCCCCCTTCATCTGTTTAATTTCCAGGACATATGTCTCAACTGAATTTGTGTTGGAGTTTGTAAAATGGCCTGGATAATAGGAGAAATCTGATCACACAATTGAGGTTCAAAACCTAACCACCAAACAGAAGTTGCAACTCCTTATCCACATATTGTCTCAATATAACATCTAGTGACATGTATTTCCCTCCACCCCATCATGAAAGTGGTATCACAATTGAAATGAGCCAGGACAGGTATTGCTCCTACCTCCCTCTTTCTGGTGGCTGGGCTTTCAGCCTTTTGCTTTCCACTGCACCCCCAAAGGGCATGGGTATTAGGGAAAGGGGGGAGAGAGAGGCTCTCACACCTTGCTGTGCCTTATTGCTTACACTGCAGAATCTCTAGCTTATCCACCCAGTGTAGTTGACTGTATATGGAGGAGGGGGAGAGAGCTTGTGTTGCAACCTCTGAGAAAATTAGTTGTCTCTATTTTATCTTTTGCAGCTGCAGCACTTCTCCTCCTTTCCTTCCCCCCCCTTTACACGACTGGTATGTCTGAACCATATCCTTCAAAACCAGTTTTCTAAGCAGATTAGATGGGTAGCAGAGACAGCTATGCAATCAGGCAAAAATGTGAGCTCAAGCCTTCATTTTTTGCAGTGGCCAGAGCAATAAGCGTCTCACACCTGGATATTTTTTTCTCTCTCCTGTCTCTCCAACATGTTGTAGTCTGTCCATTGCTGTAGAGTGGAACTAAAAGTTCATCCTAGGCACTAATAATGTTACAATTTAATATTGAGCAGGGAGGTGATTGGCTCCCTGCTAGCAGAAGGAATTCATGTTTGAAGCAGTAGGCAACTGCTTCCTGGCTACAGTTATTCACCACATGAACCAATGTCCCTCCGGTATGTTCTGACGTTCTTGATGGGATTATCCTACCTTGGGTGACTGGTACTGAGAACCACATGCTCAGGCCAAGTCTACTGTGAAAGGTTATGTGGGCATAGCGGCATAGGTCATGGATATGGAAAAACCACACACCCCTGACCAATGTAGCTATGCTGACGTAGTTCCATCTACGCTGAGGCTTATGTCAACCTAAGAGGGCCTCTGCTGACCTAGCCAACGTTGTTCAGAAAAAATGCTTCTGTTGGCATAGGCGTCTATACTACAGCACTATGCGAGAATGTAGAAAACCCTCTTCAGTATCCCACTAAGTCAGCCGCGCTGACACACGTGGTTTCATTGGTCTTGCAACTGTTGAAACCAGGGCTCCCTGGTTCAACACCAAAAGACTTTGTAAGCATCAGTAGTGGGTTTCAGGTCTGGCTCCTTCTATATGCAAGCAACTATAAATTGCATTCAGGGTTATCTCTTAATCTCTGTTTGGAAAAACCTACTTAACCGCTCTTGCAGGGTGAACGGGCAGTTGGGATCGGTTAGAGGGCTGAGTGGCAGGTCCGGGGACAGGAGGATTGAGTGAGCTGCTGTCTTCCTTTCTGGAGGAAAAGGTGGAGTTGCACGTCCTAGGAGACATTTGCTACTTCTCTGGAGGATAGAAAGGAACCAAATGTGGAGTGGGCCAGAACTCAGTTCCCTTCAGTGAACAGAGGAGTGTGTGAGTGGGTAGGAGAAAGAAGGGAGAGATTTAAGATCTAGATAATATTTGAATTATTAAGCTAGAGAAGAGAAGCAGGGGACTGAGATTTCAGGGGAGAGAAAATAGAGAGGTGGGGGTGTGGGGAAAGGAAGGAAAGATGAAACATGCCCTAAAAACAAGGCAAGACAACCTACCCTATGATCTGTGCTAGGAAAGAAAGTGGAATGAAGCTAGAAAAGGAAAAACTAACATTTCCAATATTAAGTAGAGAATTGATATTAAAAACGTTGTTGTATACAATGCATAGTTATTGTATTCCTTTACATTTCAGGTAGCATAGCTTTGGGGAAGGCATGGTAGCAAAGGCCCCGTCCCCCACCACATATCTTACTGTAATCAGAAACAGAAAAATCAAATCTCCCAGCTAAAGGAGGAAATAAAAAGAAAGCTGGTCATGTGTATCACAGCCATATTGAGAATGTCCAACAGCAGTAAAATACAACTGTAAAACATGCATTGAAGGCTTAAAATCATGAATAAAAACAAAGGTATTTTTTCCACTCTGGCTAGTAGGCTTAGTCCTTGGGCTAGTAGGTGCTGGGTTGAGAAATTTACTCTGGCTTCAGGGGCAATTTAAGTTTAAGATTCCATCAAATCCATACTCAGTCTGTATAAGTTAGTCTCCTTGTTGCCTTTATATTAGATGTGACAGATTAATATGTTTGAGGGCAGATCACTGCTAGACTAAATCTTTCTCTGGTTATGATTCCTTACAATTATAAAACAGTCACAGGGTTATAGGGTTTATAAAGAGGTTTATTACAGTTTCCAACATTGGAATTCTGTGGGCTAAGTGTTTTTTAAAGAAGTAAATCAAAATATATGCACATCCCATTTCCCCTTCCCTAAGATGTACAAGAATTAGGAATAAACTATACTACTTTTATAGAGGAAAACTACTAAAAATGACTGACTGCACATTGGTCCTTATGCAGCATCTTATTGTTTGCAGTGGCAGGGTAACCCTGCACCCATTCTTACAGTAGGATCCTCCATTGAGT